TATGACTTCACTCATATAAGGACTTTAAGATACAAAACAGATGAACATAAGGGAAGTGAAGCAAAAATAATATAAAACCAGGGAGGGAGACAAAACAACAGACTCTTAAATATGGAGAACAAACAGAGCGTTACTGTAGGGCTCGTGGGAGGGAGGATGGGCATTAAGGGGCATTAAGATTTAGGAATCTACTCCTGAAATCATTGCTGTACTATATGCTAACTAACTTGGATGTAAATTAAAAAAAAATTGCTAGAACAAATACATGAATTCAGCAAAGTCATAGAATATAACATCAACATGCAGAAATTTGTTTCTTTTCTATACACTAATAATGAAGCAGCAAAAAAAGAAAAGCAAGGAATCAATCACATTTGCAAGTCCTCAAGAAATAATATGTTACCTAGGAATAAAATTAACTAAAGAGGTAAAATATCTATACTCTGAAAACTATAGCACACTTATGAAAGAAATTGAATAGGACACCAAGAAATGGAAAAACTCCATACCCATGGATTGGAAGAAAAAATATTGTTAAAATGTCTATACTTCCCAAAGCAGTCTAGATCTTTAATGCAATCCCTATCAAAATACCACCAGCAGTTTTCACTGAGCTAGAAGAAACAATCCTACATTTGTATGGAACCACAAAACACCCCAAATAACCAAAGCAATCCTGAAAAAGAAAAACAAAACTGGAGGCATCATGATTCCAGATTTTACATTGTATTACAAAGGTGTAGCCATCAAGACAGTATGCTACTGGATCAAAAATAGACACTCAGATCAATGGAATAGAATAGAGAACCCAGAAATGGACCCACAACTATATGGCCGACCCATCTTCAACAATGCAGGAAAGAATATCCAATGGATAATAAATGGTGTTAGGAAAACAGGACAGCAACATACAGAACAATGAAACTTGACAACTTTTTAACACCATTTATAAAAATACATTCAAAATGGATGAAAGACCTAAATGTAAGACAGGAAACCATCTAAATCCTAGAGGAGAACATAGGCAGCAACCTCTCTGACCTGAGGTGGAGCAACTTCTTACTAGACATGTCACTGAATGCAAGGGAAATGAAAGCAAACATGAACTACTGGGACCTCATCAAGATACAAAGCTTCTACACAACAAAGGAAACAATCAACAAAACTAAAAGGTAGCCTACAGAATGGGAGAAGATATTTGCAAACGACATATCGGATAAAGGTTAGCATCCAAAATCTATAAAAAACTTATCAAATTCAACACCCAGAAAACAAATAACTGAGTTAATAAATTGACAGAAGACATGAAAAGACCTTTTTCCAAAGAAGACATCCGATGGCTAACAGACACATGAAAAGATGCTCAACATCACTGATCATCATCACACCTATCAGAATGGCTAAAATTAACGATGCAAGAAAGAACGGGTGTTAGCAAGGATGCAGAGAAAAGGGATCTTTCCTGCACTGCTGGTGGGAATGCAAATGGGTTCAGCCACTCTGGAGGACAGTATGAGGTTCCTCAAGAAAGTACATAAAACTACCCTATGACCCAGCAATTGCACTATTAGGTATTTACCCAAAGGATACAAAAATATACATTTGAAGGGGTACATGCACCCTGATGTTTGTAGCAGCATTATCAACAATAACCAAATTATGGAGACAGCCCAAATTTCCACCAACTGATGAATGGATAAAGAAGATGTGTGGTGTGTGTGTGTGTGTGTGTGTGTGTGTGTGTGTGTGTGTGTGTGTGTGTGTTTAATGGAATATTATTCAGCCATCAAAAAGAATGAGATCTGTCCATTTGCAATGTCGTGGATAGAGCTAGAATGTATTATGCTAAGCGAAATAAGAGAAAGATATCATATGATTTCACTCATATGTGGAATTTAATTAAGAAACAAAACAGATGAACATATGGGAAGGAGGTGGGGGGAAGAGAAGAGAGGGAATAAAACCACAGGAGACCCTTAATGAGAAAAAGCAAACTATGGGTTGACAGAGGGAAGTGAGTGGGAGATAGGCTAGATGCGTGATAGGTAAGGGACTATGTTGTGATAAGCACTGAGTACTGTATGTAAGTGATGAATCACTAAATTTTACTTCTGAAACCAATACTGTACTGCATGTTAACTAAAATTTAAATTTAAAAAACAAACTTGAAAATACTTTTATCTCAATAAATAAAATAAAATAAAATAAGTGAATTTTTGTGTTATGTGAATTCTCAGGTTTAAAAATCTCTCAATCTATCCTATTGTTATTTCCCTAATGTACAATATGTTGCTATACTCCAGGAACAACCTGGTAACTGCTAATCTAAAAAGATCTCAAATGTTTTAAAATTTACAGGTATGACACCTATGCAGACGCACATATCACATTCACACAAATACAAATATGTTGCCCATTTGATAAATTATAAAAGGATAATATTATTCTGAAGGAAATATAAAATTCTTAGAAAGGTTAGTATTATCTAAAATACTATGCTAAGAAATAGGGGCACCTGGGTGGCTCATTTGGTTAAGCATCCAACTCTTGATTTCACCTCAGGTCATGATCTCACGGTTTGTGAGATCAAGCTCCGTGTCGGGCTCTGCACTGAGCATGGAGCCTGCTAGGGATTCTCTCTCCTCCTCTACCCTCCCCTACTCACAAGCATGCATGCACTCTCTCTCTCTCAAAATAGGTACGTAAACTTTAAAAAAAATACTATGCAGTATTTTAACTAACTAGTCATCTAGGTCAGTAGCTATGCGTACTGAGAGAACAAACACATCTTCATCACTATAATACTAGTGATTACTTCATCACTATAATACTAGTGATTACTAAGACCAATAATTAGATTTCAGGGAACATTTCCTATATTCCAAGTGGGCATATTAGAAGCCCAATTAATGCCCATCATAATCAATAAGGTAAGTGCTACTATAATCCCCCATTTTACAGATGAGGAAACTAAAGCACAGAGTAATCATACAAATAACAAATATTAGAGCCAACAGTTAGATTAGGTAGGCTGTCTACAAAGCCTGTAATCTACTACACTGGTACATCCCCCCCCATATAACAACCAAAATTACAGTCAAGTGTGATTCTGCACAAAGTCCTCCCAGTTTAGAACACATATTTCAACCATATATGTTTATATGTACTCTTTTTAAATTAATTTTCACAATTCGTTTCAAATCAAAATATTAAATTTTTTACTTTATTAGTAACATCAACCTTTCTACAAATAACTTGAAGCATGTTTATTCATATACCTAAAATTTTTGAAATAGTGATATAATATTTACCTTGTTCTAGGCCGTTGTTCATCTTCAGATTCACTAACTTCTTCACTAACTCCTGATTCCTGAAAATCAGAATCTTCAGAATCTTCACTGCTCACTTGAAAAAAAAAAAAATTAAGTTATTAAATACTTCCCAACAGAAATGCAATTCACTTAATTTGTCAATAACTTCACATTAAAACTTAGACCAATGTGTGAGTATCTACAGTATGCACATTAATTTATATTTTAGTATGTACATTAATGGATATTACACATCATATAGATTAGACTAGTTAATAATTCAAATAGAAGTTATAAAAACTATTCAAATGTATTCCAACTATGATTATAAAACTATGGTTCTATATTAAAATATAAGTATTAATTATGTATGAATTTTTAAAATGTGAATTTAACTGTCAATAAAATATATTCATTATTACCAAAGGTGAATAAAAAGAATTCTGGTTATTCAAATCAAACAAAGTAGGCTGGCCAAAAGGGAGTAAGGACAAATACAGACTCTCTGCCATTTATGACAACTAGAAATTATGAACAGAATATATAAAGAAATGACCTAAGCACTCCGAAAAGGAAACAACAGCAGACAGACTGGGGACTGAAACAAAAACTTGAATAATGATTCCTATAAAATTGAGGTTGGGGTAGTGACTATGGGTGTCATAGGGTTTTTTCCTTCTTTCTTTCCTGATTTCAACAAGAAGGGAGGCTGAATTCCAAAACTATGCAGAGGGCGCCAACAGCAAAACTGGGAGAACCCCATTTCTAGCCACAGCACTGAGAAAAAGGAGCTGAGCCTTGTATATCATGAGAGTAAATGGAAACCCCAATTTTATTTTTCTCTCAAAAATTTTATTTTTCTGTACCAAAATAGCCACTATGACACAGGTATCTAAACTCCAGCAGAATACACATTTTTCTGGCCAGAGGAAACCAGGCAGGGAATACACAAAATGAGTCTCAAATATCTTGTGCTGCCAGAAAATAATCCAATGCTCAAAGAATGATTGGGGTATATTCAAAGAACACTTGATCCAACTTGAAGGAGCTTCTAATAGCCAAAGCTGGAACAATGTGAGCAACAAAATGAACAATTGAATTACAACTAATAGAATAAAATATCTATAAATTCATATTAAGTAATGGGATAAATAAGGGAAAACAGATAGCTCTTCCTTACCATTACTAAATGTGTAAGTAAAGAAAGAAATAGAAAATAACCACTAGATAAACATCACAAAAACTGCTTCAGACAAGACGAATGCTAAAATTAGTGGGCTTTAGTATGATGAGAAACAGGATATTTGAATAGTCTCAAAGTATCTCTCCACAAGACATTAATTAAATATGAACAGAAAAAGATTTTTTTTGCAGTGGAAAAACCCAGCAGACACCAACTTAACCAAGTAATCAGTATTACCAGTATAAGACATATTGTCATCATATAATTTCGGTGTAGGATACTCTGAGAAGGGTTAAATATTACTTTTGTGGTGTTCTTGTCAAAATGTTTAATAACCTCAATTTAACCATAAGAAAACATTAGACAAATACATATGGATTAACAGTCTAGAAAAGAATTGATCAAGGTGCCTGAGTGGCTCAGTCGGTTGAGCGTCCAACTTTGGCTTAGGTCATGATCTCACAGCTCAGGAGTTTGAGCCACATGTCGGGCTCTGTGCTGACAGCTCAGAGCTTGGAGTCCCCTTCAGATTCTGGGTCTCCCTCTCTCTCTCTCTCTGCCCCTCTCCCACTCGCCCTTTTGCTCTCTCAAAAATAAATAAAAACATTTTAAAAAATTTTTAAAAAGAAAATAACTGATCAATACTCTTCAAAAGTGTCAAGGTCATGAAAGAAAAGGAGGAGAAACCGTCACAGATTGGAGTCTATTAAGGAGACATCACAACTAAAAGCAATGTGGCATCCTAGTTTGGATTCTGGAATAGAAAAGACATTAGTGAGAAAACTAACGATAACCAAGTAAGATCTTTAGCCCACTTCAAAGGTCAGAAAATATTTTATGTAAAAAGTCTGATGGTAAATATTTGTAGGCTATATGGTCTCTGTTTCAACTACTTATTTCTACTCAACTTTGCCACTCTAATTACACAAAAGCAGTAACTGAGTAAGTATAACCTGGTTCCAAAACACTTTATAAAAATAGGTAGACGGTCAGATTTAGCCTACAGGTATAGTTACCCAACCCCCAGTTTAACTAATAGTATTCTATCAATGTTAATTTCCTGGATTTGGTTACTGTACTATATAGTTAAATTTAAGGTGTGAAATTAGGGAAGCTGGGTAGAAGGAATATAGGAAATCTGTACTATTTTTGCAACATTTCTTTCAACTTTAAATTTTGAAATAAAAAATTTTTTCAAAGATCTATATTGATCTGAAATCAGAATCTATAATCTATCTAAAAAAAGACATGGGTTAACATAAATACAGTAAAGAATTGATAACGGGGGAAAGGGGAATAAGGAGTTATTGTTTAAAGAGTTTCAGTTTGGGATAACAAAAGAGTTGTGGAGTGTTGATGGTTGTACAACAATGTGAATATACTGTCACTGAAATGTACACTTAAAAATGGTTAAAATGGTTAAAATTTTATGTTATGTGTACTTTACCACAATAACAAATAAAAAGAAAAAAATAACTGCTAAGCAACTGGGGATTTGAAGAACACATGTGTCCATATGCACACATATAAATCCTGTCATTAAGCAAAATTCTAAACCTATTATTAATTTTTCATCACTTTATTTTGAAAATTTTCAAACGTACCAAAACTTTAAAAAAACTGTTGAATGAACATCTACAACCCTTCTCCTAAACTCATTTGTTAAATGTATCATATTTGTTTGCTTTCTCTTTGTATATACACACACAGGTTTTTGCACTGAACCATCTAAATGTAAGTGCAGATATCATGGCACTTTATCCTTAAGCATAAGGATGCTGTCCTATATAAATAGCATTATCACACTTAAAAAAACATCAATTTAATATTATCTAATAATAATAAAGGCAATAATTAAATTTTTTAAATTATCACCAAAATAACTTTTATAATTTTTTTCAAATTTAGGTGAAAACTGAAAGTTCACGTTGCCCTTGATCTTACTAAGTCAGCTATTCTCTCTTGATTTCTCCCCATTGCCTAACTTAAATTTCCAGACAATACAGGCACAACAGTTTGTAAAACCTGAAAAGTTATGCAACTTTTATTTATTTATTTATTTATTGAGAGAGAGAGACAGAGAGAGACAGAGACAGAAACACTCAGAGAGATAAGGAGAGAGAGAATCCCAAGCAGGCTCCGCACTGTCAGTGCAGAGCCGATATGGAGCTCGATCCCACAAACTGTGTATAATCGTGAACCTGAGCCAAAATCAAGAATTGGGATGCTTAACTGACTGAGCCACCCTTTGAAATAAAGCCCCTTTGCAACTTGAAATGTAGTATCAATCAATATTATAATCCATATTAGAAACATAAATGATAAGATTTGTTTACTCCCTCCTACAAAAACAAATGAAAAAATACTTGGTAATAAATTACCCACAGAAGAGGACAGTGGAACAGGTGACAAAAGACTTAGACTTTAATAAAACATTTCAAATGTAACTGTGTCCACTAAAGGGCTCTATCCTGATCTGAGCCTCAGAGGTAAAATCAGTATTTCCCCTTTTGTTGAAGATGCACAGGAATTCGTGTGAAGTTATGTAACCTGCTTAAATTGCTCAGTTGCTTTATAAAATCTGAAAAACGAGCTTGTAGTCATGCTGTAAAAAATTTTTAAAAAAAGCATTCACAAAGTGATGTACTATTATTTATTTAACATGAAAATATCCATGACATATTTAGTGTGTGTGGCGGCGGGGGGCGGGGGGGGCTTCTCTTCTTCCTCTTTAATGAATAACTGTTCAACAAAGGGCTGTTCAACAGCCCTTTAAATGTTCAGGATTCCAAGATTCTGATATCAACTATTTTGGCAATGTCAACTATTCTGGTAGTATTATACATATACCATGACAACTCCAAAAACCTGGCAGTCATCCCAGACTTTTATCTTTCATATCAATTAATAAGATCTAACAATTCAGTCTATGACTCCTGTCAATTTTCCTCTTCAAAAATTGTACTTGGTATCAACTATAGCAATATCCTCCAGAGACACAAATCTAAGCTCTGAGTATAACAGAATAATAAGCAATTAATCTGATCATATTATATTCTTGGTTAAAATCTTTCAATGGGAACAATGGGTGGTTGTGCTGAGGCTGTGATTCATGAGTACTAGTAATGAATGTCCTGCGCCATACATGTTCATCAAGCTGTCTGCTTATACAGCTTGTATGCTATAAACAGGCAAACTGTATGGTTTGTGAATTATATCTCAAAAGGGCTAAAGTACAAAAATATTACAAATAAAAATATTTTTTAAAATTAAGAAAAAAAAATTCCCAATGACTCTCCAGCCTCTAGAGTCTATTGTCCTTCTCAGATACTTCCAAAACTGCTTTCCTATTCCTAGTGGCAAAGAGTTAATCTGAGTAAAGTTTTTAAAATTTGCCCCTAAGAAACCAAAAGGTTTCTCTGAACTTTCTGCTAATTTTTCAATATACATGTGATTATTTAAGAATGTTCTACCCCAATGCTCAAATAAAATGGACACACCAAAGAGGTATGCAATGTTTACTCTACAGCCTCATGTACCCATGAATCAACTGTCAAGTATTCCAGTTTGAGAAACCAAAGCTTACAAGTGTCTCCAACACCTGGTCTCTGTCTTGGCCCAGCCTCATGTCCTGTTGATCCTTTCCCTATTCCCTCCTATAGTTTAGCTATATACCATATTAACTGCTTCCCCTCAACCATGTGTGAACATTTTGCAGAGGCTTCTGAAGTTTTTTCTCTTCTTATATTATAAATCTTCACAACACATCTACCTGGTCCCCAGTTACAACTTGGGTCTGCTGAATGAAACTTTTCATCTTTGTGAAGTCTCCTCTGGGGATAAATACCATACCCTAAGAAGCTAAGGAAATGTTCCCTTGTGCCACACTATACAATACCTCTGTTGTATAAGACACCCGTCATGGTGCTATAAACCACTGACAGTCAAACCTGGCTGCATATCAGAATCATATCAGAGATGTTTTATAAAATATATGGATACTTTGGTTTCACTACCACCAATTATGCTGTAATTGGCTTGAGATGCAGTCCTGTAATATGTATACTTCAAAATCCCCAAAGTAATCCACATGTATAGCCAGGCTGAAAACCACCATACAAGACAATAATTTCCTTACTTATTTTTGTATTCTCAATGTTTATCATGATGTTGGAAACATATAAGCACTCAATGCAGGATTCAGACTTTTAATGTAATGAAAATTTGAGCTGACTATATACAAGCTTTGCATATAATAAATCTACCCAAATTAACTGCATTGTCTATCTTTCCTTAGGAAGCATTATTTCTTCCTGCAGTTACAGACAATCCTGTATTTTTTACATAGCCTTTAAGTATATTTTATTTATTGTCATATGTATCTTTTTAATCTAAGTTGTGTATGACTACTAAAGATTAAAAATAGGGGTGCCTAGGTGGCTCAGTGTGTTAAGCCTCCAACTCTTGAGTTTCAGCTCAGGTCATGATCTCAGTTTGTGGGTTCGAGCCCCACATCAGGCTCTGTGCTGATGCAGGGGTGGTGCGGACCCTGCTTGGGATTCTCTCTCTCCCTCTCTCTCTCGTGCTATCTCTCTCTCTCTCTCAAAATAAATGAATAAACTTTAAAAAAAAAAGACTAAAAATATATTCTTTGTGTCATCTCACAATTTTCTGGGTTATCTTCCCACTCTAAATTCTTTATTTCACTCTCATTTAAGAGAATAGTTTTTGCCAGTGTGCTGATATTCACTTAATACAGGTGGTCCAGATAATAGTTAAATTTCATTACTGTAGGAGCCCTGGGTGGCTCAGTCGGTTAAGTATCTGACTTCAGCTCAGGTCACGATCTCACGGTTCATGGGCTCAAGCCCCACATCAGGCTCTCTGCTGTCAGCACAGAGCCCATTTTGGATTCTCCCTCTCTCTCCCTCCCTCTCTCTCTCTCTCTCTCAAAATAAATAAACTTTAAAAAGTTTGATTACTGTAATTAGTTTATAAAATCAGTATATTCCTTACATTCAGAATTAAAATATCTTACCTTTCCTTCTATTTCTGCCTTTGGCTTCTTTGTGCTCTTTAGGCTTCATCTTTTTTTCTTCTCCAGATTCTCCATCACTCACAGTGAGTTTGTGTCTCAAAAGCCTATGTCTGTATCTTGGCTTCTTAGATTCTTCAGATTCTGAATCTGATTCAGAATTGACTTGATGTTTTGCTTCTAAGTGGAGAAAAGAAATCAGTAAAACCTTCAGACATTTTTCCTTTAAAACCTGTTATAAAACTACTTTGATTGTTGAAAATTTTCATGATTTACAAAAAAAATCAGAGCTGTGCACTTACTTACTTTGGTATCACTGGTGATACCAGGCAACCTTATACATTAAACTTGATATATTACTATAATTAAATACTAATTAAATATCACCAATAGACATTCATAGATTTTTTTAAAGGTAAAAAATATTTTGCTTTAAAAATCATCTGTTTAGGGGCGCCTGGGTGGCTCAGTCGGTTGAGCAACCGACTTTGACTCAGGTCATGATCTCAAGGTTTGTGAGTTCAAGCCCCACGTCGGGTTCTGTGCTGACAGCTCAGAGCCTGGAGCCTGCTTCTGATTCTGTGTCTCCCTCTCTCTCTGTCCCTCCCCCACTCATGTTCTGTCTTTCTCTGTCTCAGAAATAAACATAAAAAAATTAAAAAATAGTAATAATAAAAATCATCTGTTTATTGGCAATAACTGAAAAAACATGCACAACTATTACCAGACACTCAAAAGGAGTAAAGGTAGTAAAGTTTTAAATATTTAATAAACTTCAAATGCATGTATTATGAGATTTCACAGACAGATAGTCTTCAAAGACTGAACTGGTCAAACAATGAAATTATGACATCCTGTACTTCTCTTTGGAGCTCACCCTCATCTCCTGGGTTTCCTTCATTGTGTTTTCCAGTTCTTTTTTTTCCTTCTTCTGGTTCATCATCTGAAGATCCATCCTCATCAGAGGAAAGATTGGCTTTAATTTCTTCTAAAAGCATCTTCTTGGCAATTCTTGAGTAAAAAGACAGTAAAAAACTATATATTTGGTGGTGAAGTGTAACAAATTAAAAAATTTTTCACTATCAAAATAGAAATAAATGTGTAAAAAGATTTTATACTGTAAATAAAAGACTACCAAAGCCATGTTTTAACCTAAGCTACCAACCAACCAAAACTTTTGAAAGATGCTCTTAGCACTGATTTTCTTCCAATTCTAAATACTTCGGCAATATATTTAAAAATCTGAGGGACATTTCTACTATTTTGACCAATTGCCATTTCACGATGCATACTTCCAATCCTGTATTTGCTCTGCAGCCATCATCCAACAACTGCAATATCAGTCTCACAATAATAAATCAACTTTTCCAGACAAATGGCATTCCAAGGCAAAACTCCACGAGAGGATCATTCAGCAAAACATATTCTTAGAAAAATCAATGTGTAATAAACCACTTTCTAATGAAACAGTGCCTGAAACTGGTGGATAATATTTTTGGCACTTAAATTTCAATTTACTTCATAAACTGTTAATGAAATGCAAGCATATACTATACACTAAGTATTGAAGCAATCAGAAATCCCTAATAATATTCAAACTAGGGCAGATAAGAGAAGGGACAGGAGTGCTATTAATTACATACATGGTAAAAGAACACAAATTACCATAAATGAGTTTTCGCTTTCCACGAAAGTAGATAGTACAGTAGCCTCACTCATATCAAAATTTCTCAAGATGCTCCTCAAAGACCAATTTGTTAATGGAAAAATCAACTGCTAAAAGCATGAGAAGATACTACTTTAATACCATCTCATGTTAAAATAAAATATATTCCTAATAAATTTCCATGCTTATGCTAAAGGAAAACATCTGAAAATGTAAGATAAAAGCAATCAAGCAGCTTTTGTATAAGATGAGGTATTTTGCACCTGAAGTGTCTTTTTGATATAAATTCAAAAATCACACTAACAAAGGAATACCTTATAGACGGTTCAAAAGGAAAGTAGCATGATTCTCAGTTTTCCATGGCCTTTTTTTTTATATATGAAATTTATTGTCAAATTGGTTTCCATACAACACCCAGTGCTCATCCCAAAAGGTGCCCTCCTCAATACCCATCACCCACCCTCCCCTCCCTCCCACCCCCCCACCCTCTCACCCCCCATCAACCCTCAGTTTGTTCTCAGTTTTTAAGAGTCTCTTATGCATTGGCTCTCTCCCTCTCTAACCTCTTTTTTTTTCTTCCCCACCCCCATGGACTTCTGTTAAGTTTCTTAGGATCCACATAAGAGCGAACTTTTATGGGAAAAATCCACTGTGCAATCAAGATTAACTCTCTAGCTCATCAAAAACTTGCAGCTTGAATCATGGAACTTCTGTTATTTTTGGATCTGAAACCCTTCTTTATATTTCTTAACATACACTCACATTTCAATCAAGAATTCATTCAATGGTAAGAGATGTTAATGCCTTGGTAATTTTATTTCAAAGGTACACTGTTCATTACTATTTTTATTCAAAGAGGTATAGCAAAGGCACCAAAACAGACTGAAGCAAAATAGGTAATCACTTCATAAACACTTATTATCTACCTTTTGGTGCTTCCTTCCCTAAATATACAGATCGGAAATAGACAACACAGAGAGTTACCAAGTGCTAAAGGAAACCACAGATGAGTTTGCTTTTTTGAGGGATTTTGATATGATTTATGTTTCAATAAAGTGAAGATTAGATCACTCCAATTTAAATCCTACTGGAGTTGAGTTATAAAGTGTTGTTCTTACACTTCTACATAAGTGGTTTGCTGACTTGGATTGTACACAATAAACATTTTAAAATGGGGAATAATCTAGGGTTGCCAACTTTTCATTTTGCCAAGAATAAAAATTTAAAGCCAAGTATCATTTGTTTTCATCATGTTATAAAATAAAGACTCTTTCAACACACCCTCCACAAATTAGGAACAGTTTCAGAATGAAGGGTGGTTCTTTAAATTTAATAAAAGCATCTGTCTAGAAAAACTCTCTAATACAAACTACATTTGTTATTTCCCATGGACAAGGAAGTGCTTTCTTGAACCAATTTCAATAAAACCACTCTTTTGCAATGAGTAAAAGTGTATGTGTGTGTTCATGTGTATATGTATAAATATAAAGTGTTGAATAATAGATTACAAATAGAAAAACATAGTTCCACTTGCAGTTACAAGATGTTATATCACCATGTGGGTAGTACAATAATAACCAACAAAAGTACAAGTATTAATTTAGTTACACTAAAGGTTACTTCAATCACTTGATTTCAGTTTGTATTACAAGTTCAAAAAAAGTCTATAATTCTATACTATCTGTAAAAACCTGGTTGTTAATTGTAAGGAACCACAAGTTTTTTTTTTTTCTTTCAAACTCTAGACTCTTAAGAATACATCTACTAAACGGAAGGTCAAAATATGTAAACCCACCTAATTCATACTTAAGTTCTAGATTGTCATGAAAAAACTGAGAAATATGATACACATAAGATAATAAAATACAATTCTATATCAACTATGAAATCATATAATAAATCATGGAAAATTAAATGAGATCCATACACTGAAAAATTACATGATTTTTAAATGAACAACCTTCATTAAGAACATAATATATAGAACAATCACTATCACTCTAGAAGCAGAAAAAAATTACAAAATTCAGAGAATGGTGATTTTTCTCCAAACTGAAAGTTACATACAGAATGATGGAGATTCCCTTAGCTTTACCTCCCTGAGATAGTTTAGTTTAGATTTACCCTCTAACACCTTTTGACCAATGAAAAACCTAATGTAAAGCCCTAAAAAGAATAAAGTTAAATTATTTGCCTGACTGATGGCTCAAGTCCAATATGTCAAAGACTCACTGCATCATAAACCTTGCCTATCACGTAACCTACACCTCAAAGTTAGAAATTTATTTGAAGGACCTAAGGGTTGAGGCTGACCTTCAACCTGAGTAGTCAGCAAACATGTTGAGATGAAAGGTGTCCCATCTATAAAGCCTGCTGTGAGATGCTTTAAGGGAAACTCCACTACCTTAACTCTTGAGTCACGGGCCACAGAGACTTCAAGGACATCATCACTTGAGAACCAGCTGAGGCTGGCAAAACATCATTTTGGAGGCCTTGGCTGGACCCATGCTGGTATGCATGTGATGGATGTATAATCATGATCCCTAGTTGATTTCTGTTTGCTCTGAAGTTTCCTTTCTTGAGGCTTTCCAGGAGGTTTCTGAGAAAATCATCCAGGCAACAAGGTACTGCCCCCCTGGAATCTCAATGCTCAATATTACATCTTGGGGCAGGTGTAGCATCCAAAGCAGTCACGACTCTATCAGAAGCGTTAGAGGCACAGGCTGTGCCACTCTGTGGCAGAAAACCTGCGCAGGGCTGGAAGTAATGGAGCCACTCCTCCATTTTCCTGAAAGGGAGGGAAGGGAGAAGGGGAGAAAGCAAAACAATATGGGAGGAAGGGTAAAAACCCACAAACAATGATCGGAACTGGTGCATGAGAGAATAGAACCCCATAACCCAAACAAGCTAAGTCTTCTAAATCACATAATACCAAGATAATGTCTTCTTACCCCTTACACCTTCATCTACTACAAGAAAGCAAAAATAAAATAAGGAATAAGCCCAACAATGCAAAGACGAACAAACAAGCAAAAAAAAAAAAAAAAAAAAAAAAAAAAAAAAAAAAAAAAAAAAAAAAAAAAAAAAAAAAAAAAAAAAAAAAAAAAAAAAAAAAAAAGAGAGAGAGAGAGAAAGCCAAGAAAAGCCTTTAGTTATTCTGATCTGATCTAGAAAAGAGATGCATAATGTTTCTTGTTTAAGTGCTCAAACAGGGAACAAGTAAACTACCTCTTTCTGTTGGTGAATCACTAATTCAAAACATTAAATTTCTGAAATAGAAGCAATCGAGAGAGTGATCTCTTGTACCATGGAGGTTTTAGGCAAATAGCTATTACAAAAGCAACACAAAATGTGAGAGCTAGAAAAAGGGACTTTAGAGTCCAATTCTGTCACTTTACAAAGGAGGAAACAGGCTTAGAAAGGGAAAAAGATGAAGCCATAGAAACAAAGCTAGTTAGTGGCAAAGCCAGAAGTAGCACCTAAGATCCTGAATCTCAATATTCTCTAATTTTAGTATGCCAGTGCTATCTATATTCTCTACTCATTCACTACTGCTATGTTTATTAGCACTTCATGAATACACTATAGTCAGTCACATTGTTAAAGATATCTGTATTTCACTGATTTCCAAATATGTTTTTTGAAATGAAAGAATTCAAGCTTCGATTTTTAAAGATTAAATAAAAAAGATTTCTAAACATCTTTAGTCCAGTATGCTCCATTTCTGAAATGCACTTGACAGGCCATCTCAGACACATCCCTATAATCTATTCTTTTAACTTTTAAGAGGTTCTGAAAACAGGTTTGAAGAAAAATGCTAAATAAAAAATGCTATTTTAGAAGGCCAAAACAGTATGGTGCATCCATACACAAAGATGACAAAATTAAAAAAAAAAAAAAAACTGTTTACCTTTGTGCACAATATCACAATAGAATAATTAGTTAAAACAGAATTCTGATGGGGCGCCTGGGTGGCTCAGTCGGTTGGGCGACCGACTTTGGCTCAGGTCATGATCTCACGGTCTGTGAGTTCGAGCCCTGCATCAGGCTCTGTGCTGACAGCTCAGAGCCTGGAGCCTGTTTCAGATTCTGTGTCTCCCTCTCTCTCTGACCCTCCCCCGTTCATGCTCTGTCCCTCTCTGTCTCAAAAATAAATAAATGTAAAAAAAAAATTAAAAAAATAAATAAATAAATAAAACAGAATTCTGAGGCAGATTACAGGTTTAAATGTATACTCTTTAGAGATGCAAAACAAGTATCTAAGTATATGTAGTGTTAAAATACCATACCATATTCAAAATGTTGATACATAAAACAATTCAAATGGCTACAGCCAAAAAACATTGAAAACTTTTTGTGACAACAAGGTGGGGAAAACATATTCTTCTAATAAAGTGTGAGGCATTAACAAATGTTATATACTTCAGGGTTAAGAATAAAAACTAGGGGCACCCGGGTGGCTCACTGAGTTAAGCATCCGACTTCAGCTCAGGTCATGATCTCACAATTTG